AGGAGTTGGCTATTCAGGATTGCCCCAAGCTCAAAACATGGTGGGCAAGCAGCAGCGAAGGCAGAGGAGATTCAATTACACCATTTCCAGTTTTGAGAAAACTTACTTTAGGGTTCATGACAAAGCTGGAGAAATTGACAGAAGCACAAGGCATGGTCGTGTTTCCTTGCCTTGAGGAGTTGGATATTGGAAATTGCCTCGAGCTCAAAACATGGTGGGCAAGCAGCAACGAAGGCAGAGGAGATTCAATTGCACCATTTCCAGTTTTGAGAAAACTTACTTTAAGGTCCATGACAAAGCTGGAGAAATGGACAAAAGCACAAGACATGGTCATGTTTCCTTGCCTTGAGGAGTTGGCTATTCAGGATTGCCCCGAGCTCAAAACATGGTGGGCAAGCAGCAGCGAGGGCAAAGGAGATTCAATTGCACCATTTCCAGTTTTAAGAAAACTTACTTTAAAGTCCATGACAAAGCTGGAGAAATGGACAGAAGCACAAGGCATGGTCGTGTTTCCTTGCCTTGAGGAGTTGTATATTGAGGATTGCCTTGAGCTCAAAACATGGTGGGCAAGCAGCAGCGAAGGCAGAGGAGATTCAATTGCACCATTTCCAGTTTTGAGAAAACTTACTTTATGGTCCATGACAAAGCTGGAGAAATGGACAAAAGCACAAGACATGGTCGTGTTTCCTTGCCTTGAGGAGTTGAATATTTGGAATTGCCCCGAGCTCAAAACATTGTGGGCAAGCAGCGGCCAAGGCAGAGGAGATTCAATTACACCATTTCCAGTTTTGAGAAAAATTACTTTACAGAAAATCACAAAGCTGGAGAAATTGACAGAAGCACAGGGCATGGTTGTGTTTCCTTGCCTTGAGGAGTTGAATATTTGGAATTGCCCCGATCTCAAATCATGGTGGGCAAGCAGCAGCGAAGGCAAAAGAGATTCAATTGTACCATTTCCAGTTTTGAGAAAACTTAGGTTAAGCCGCATGAAAAAGCTGGAGAAATGGACCGAAGCACAAGGCATGGTTGTGTTTCCTCGCCTTGAGGAGTTGGATATTTGGGATTGCCGTGAGCTCAAAACATGGTGGGCAAGCAGCAGCGAAGGCAGAGGGGATTCAATTACACCATTTCCAGTTTTGAGAAAACTTACTTTAAGGTCCATTACAAAGCTGGAGAAATGGACAGAAGCACAAGGCATGGTCGTGTTTCCTTGCCTTGAGGTGTTGGATATTGGGGATTGCCACGAGTTCAGAACATGGTGGGCAAGCAACAGCGAAGGCAGAGGGGATTCAATTAAACCATTTCCAGTTTTGAGAAAACTTACTTTAAGGGCCATGACAAAGCTGGAGAAATGGACAGAAGCACAAGGCATGGTCGTGTTTCCT